AAGGAAGGAAGGAAGGAAGGAAGGAAGGAAGGAAGGAAGGAAGGAAGGGGGAAAAGCTTTATGGGTACACCTTGCATAGTGGGTGTTGGTATTTTTTAAGTATCACAGAACAAAAGCAGAATCCTTAGAGTAGTAATTCACCTTCATTTTGCCCTTTTGCTAACATTTAGTCATTTTTACCATCACAGCCTCTAAAGTTGCATTTTTAGATATATTTTTATCCAGCTTTGAAAGCAGCTGAAAGGAATTGGGTATCTCTTAAACAGTATTATTCTGGCTAATCCCAATCCCTTTGAAGCACAGCAAGAAAGCTTAATATCACGTAGAATAAAAATCTGACACTTTATATTTTGGTTAGTTCTTGAATATCAAGAGTATTATAGGATAGAAGGAAGTGCAACCTCTTCTCAATACACTCATTATATTTTTTAAAGCAAAACATTTTAAAAGCTACCCACAATGGATCATGCCTATAATCTTAATGACTCAGAGTTTGAGTTCGTAGGATCACAGTTCAAAGCCAACCTGGTAGAAAAGTCTGTGAGAGTCATTTCCAATTAATCATCAAAGAGCCAGTAGTTGGAGGTGTCCATTGAAGTGGTACAGTACAAGCCTTGAGCAAAAAAAGGCAAATGAGAGGTTGTAGCTCTGAGTTCAAGCCCCAGTATTGGAATAAATAAATAAATAAGTGCAGTGTAAAACTCTCAGGAGTAGAAGAGAATTAAAACTTTCAGAGGTCATGAGGCTTTTTACCCAATATAGAAATGTCTCCCCTTTCACACCATCTCACTCTCAGAGATAGGGAGCTATTCTAAAACCTCCATCATGCTACTTCTATGTTTTCAATTATTTTAATTTAAAAAAGAAAACTCTTTGTTTATTCCATTGTTTCCTGGGATTTCTTATAAGGACAAAAACTGGAAATGTTTGCACACAATAAACACACACACACACACATATACCCACACACACTAATGGATCTCTGTATTCTCCACTTTAGAATCCTTGTGATGACAAACGTCACCGAGACATTTGGTCTAAAGAGAAAACCTGTGATCGCTTACCAAAATTTTTGGTAATAGGACCCCAGAAAACTGGTGAGACTTTTTAATGTTATGTTTAGCAAAACGGTATAAAAATACAGGTGTCTAGATAATGCTTGTCATAATAGGTCTTAAATTTCTTACAAAGCTGATGTCTGAATATGTTATCCTCAGACACAATTTTTTTTGCCTCAACATATATTGTCCACATTTTTGTTGTTTGTTTTTTGCCAGTCCTGTCTCTGAACTTATTTTGCTCAAGGGTAGCACTCAACCATTTTAGCCACAGTGCCACTTCTGGCTTTTTCTGTTTATGTGGTAGTGAGGAATCAAACCCAGGGCTTCATGCATGCTAGGGAAACACTCTACCACTAAGCCACATTCCCAGCCCGCACATATTGTCGTTGTTGTTTTAAAGTGAAAAGGGTGAAATAGATATCACAGACTTTGAAAATCCAGCAGTCAGTTTGATGGCACAGTGTTCCAAAAATCTTAAATGAGAAACTACCAATAACATTTCTAAAATCAAAACTGATTTACCAAGTGACTGACCAGAGTTGGTCAAAAGTCAATAGGGATACAGAAAAAGTTCCTAAAATGTTTTATAATAAATCCCTTCACGAAATCATCTAATCTTCCTGATGTAATTTATTTGTAAAGTACTTTTTTGCAGAGATGACTATTTTTAAAAACAGTTGAAAAGGTGTATGGCAAGCAGAATTCCTAATAATAAACAAAATGTTATGCTAAGAAAGGTATTTATTCCTGCCCAAGAGAAACCTTTTGTACCTTTTTCTTAAATTGCTGCTCATTTTTTCCCCATAAACTCCTTTTTTTCTGTAAGAATCAGGATTAAAATGAAGCCCAGAGGAAGCTTTAAAATGTCAGACACTTGAGCTGTATTCTACGTGATAAATCATTTGAGGGCCTTTGGATTCACAGAAAACAGCCATACTGCATACTAAGGGGATGTGTTGCTCTCCTAGTCTCTCTGGAACTAACTGACAAGACTAAGCAAGCCTATTCACTTTTTCATAGTGCCATTTGCAAATATCAATCTAAACACAATAGGTAAGACAAACATGTTTCTCCTCATTATTTATCTCACTTGTCATTATCTGTCTAACGTCAAAAAGGCAACCAGGAAAACACAGAAGCTGAAGTTTTTCAGTGAGCCTCCTGCCAACACAGGAACTGTCACTGCCCATCACATCTCTCTGAAGCCTGGCTTACAAATTTGCCCAGAGATCTCTGTGGGATGCATTCCTCTCAGGCCGTGTTTGACCTAAAACCATCTGAACACCACGGGTAGATGCAGAGTTACTATTTGCCATTCTAAACTCAAAACCCTAAATGTTTATGTTACTATTTGGATATGGCTTTTGCCTTTTAAATGAAAACTAATTACAGAAAATGATTACTTTTTTATAGATGTTGATTTTTCACCCAAACCTATGGAGGTATAATTTATATCCAATCAAATTCACCATTTTAATTGCACTATTGGATACATTTTGGGGATGATACCCAGTCATGTAACCAAACCATTCTGTTAAAAAAAAAAAAAAACAGTCCCTCTGTGGTCAATACCCCCAGATACAGGCAAACACTTCCTGCCATTGTAGCTTTACTTTTTCTAGAATGTCACATAAAATCTTTTGTCTTTCATTAACATAATACTTTTCAGATTTCCTCATATATATTTATGACTTGATACCAGTATTTTCACAAATAGATTTTTTTCAATTTGACAAAAATAACTCCTCATCTAAAGTTCCATTGAGAATTAAATAGCCTTATTTTAACTTTAATTTTGTCAAAAGTATTTTTCTGGATAATTTTGCATTGATTTCTAATTACTTGGTTATTTAAATATTTTTCAATATGGAAACTAACAAAAAGTATAAAAACTGAAGCTTTATAGGTAGTTGGTTAAATAGATGTGTCTGTAATTATGTAGTTGATTTACCATAGTCAAAATAGATATATACAGAAGAGTTTTTTCAGATGAAAGAATATGTATAAAGATGGAATTTTTCAAAAATCACAATTTTATTTTTGACAACTAATTTTCTCACTGACTTTGCAAAATAATTAGATTATAATCATTTTTCCCTTTATCCTAACTTGGTATAATTCTTTTTTTGTCAGTCATGGGGCCTGAACTCTAGTCAAGGCTAGCACTCTACCACTTGAACCACAGCACCACTTCCAGTTTTCTGTATTTTATTGTAATTAAGAGTCTCGTGGACTTTCCTGCCCAGGCTGGCCTTGATCTGTGATCCTCAGATCTCAGCCTCCTCAGTAGCTAGGATTGCAGGCATGAGCCACCAGTGCCCAGCTTTGATATAATTCATAAAGGTAGAATTCATATAAGCATATTTCAGAATGCATTCTAAAAGTTCAGAAAAGTTTATTTTCTTTTTTTACATTATAACAATTCTGCATCTTATGCCCTTAAATATTTATTCTTTAAAGACCATATGCTTTTCTTCAGGGTTTATTTGTGTTTTACTTCTGTAGCTGAGAGATAGACATATTTCATGTATTTATTTTGTTCTAAATTTTATCTCAATAAAGTTCTTTTTAAAAGCATCTTGCAAATATTCAGGTATGGTACTACTTAGCTAGAACTTCCACATAACTTATTTACTCAGCCCTTAGAAAATCTTCATAGCTCAGAATTTTCTTCCTTATCACACAAATGAAAAAAGTTCACACACCTGATGAAGTACTGGAAATAAAACTCAACCCTAAAATTAACCTGCCTCTGAGAAAACATTCCTACTCTAATTTACTGTGAATTTCCAAGTAATGAAGAATTTTCCCCAAATAAGGTGTAAATATTTTTTTTTTTGAAGTTGTGTCAGGAAGACAAAGTGACCCATGACTGTCTTCAATGCGCTTACAGGAGCTTTGAGGTTTTTTTTTTTTTTTAGTTTTTTTTTTTTATTGTAAAGATACTATACAGAGGGTTACAGTTACATGAGTGAGGTAATGAGTACACTTCCTCTTGAACATTGTTAGCCC